CTGTTTGTTGCCGTGTGCGAGACGATCATCATTTCAACCAAGACCTACCGTGATGCTACAGGTGAAGTGTTCAAGCCAGTCGAAGGCAAGAAATCTTGCCATAGTCAAGATATGTGTGCAAGTGTTCGACGTGAGCTCTCACGCTGGTGCAGCTGTCATCAAGTTGAACCGAATGTACGCGGGTCCAAAGAAAGGTACATATCAACAATGTTCGCGCGTTCAAACTATGACGCGTACTTTATCTCAAACTAAACTTATCGGTCTGCGGCTACGAACATTTTCGTTAACGTGGCTTAGATGATGTAACCATTCAGGCCTCGCATTAGAAGGTGTTGCGAACTTTTCGGTTGTTCTAGTTAATTGTGCTAAAAAGCGGTTGGATGGAAAGTATGACAACTACAGCATACAAGGGACGATTGAGGTCTTTATCCTGCGTTCTATGTATCGAAACATCGGTATCCCTGGTGTTATATTGCGATCAGCTGGTCGCCGATCGTCCCGTTTTTACGCATAATGTAAACAAGCCCCGGAAGCGCCAATCTCATTTCCATGTGCTTGTGCACCCCTACAAGCCTCATTTTGGCTCTTGTGGAAAGCTTTATTGTAATAGCAATAGTCTCATCGGTCATTCGAGTTGTATGTGCCACAGTGATATCTGCTGACAAACAAGTCAGTATTAAATGCGAGGAGGAGAACGAAGGTAAAGCTTTTTTAACTGTTTTCTTTTTACAGAACAGGGCAAAGCTTCTAAAACAAGAGCAACCTTAGCTGATATTTGAGTGTGCTCAAGAATGAATTGCAAAAGGTGCTTATGCCAAGTGGTAGATGTATGCAGTTGATTTTCCGTTTGCTTCTGCATTGTAAATTGAAAGATATGTATCAGCAGAAGACATGTGTCCTTTTCAAAAAATGTCTTTTATTAGAGCAAATAGGTTTTCATACACAACGGAAGAGTTCGAAACACCATTTAATTTGAGGCCTGAATGGTTATATGATCTAAGCAACGTCAACGAAAATGTTTGTAGCCACAGACCGATAAATTTAGGTTTAGATAAGTATGCGTCATAGTTTCAGCCTCAAACACTCAACATTGTTATGTACCTTTCTTGATGACAACTGCACCAACGTGAGAGAGCCCACGTCGTCGAACACTTGCACACATGGTATGGCAAGATTTCTTGCTTGAAGTGAAGATCATCTCGCTACGACTAGCTACGACCACCCACCGCAGCGATGCAGGCACCGAAGGGGCGCAACGCAGTCAGTCGCCGTCACCGGACGCTGCTCGTTTGGCATTCACGGCTTTCCGCCCAGGTGCTTCGTTTGTACTTGGCAGCGAGTGTTATTTCCTGTGCTTGTGTGTGTGCCGAGTGGCTAGATATGGGCCTCAAGAGCAGTTCTTCAGGCTCAATAGCGTTCGTCGAAGAACTTCTGAAGAAAATGCCACCCAGGAAAAAAAGCACGAAGACGCAACGCTAAGCGAAGACGCTTGGCAGACTATGCGCTGAGCGCGGAAATCGTGCCCTGCAAATCATACACCAAATGCAAACTATCTAAACAAAACAAAAACATTTTTAGGCTCAAATTGGCTTCTGTGGACTATACGCCTGGACACTGGTGCCCGTTATTATGCATTGTATATTCACTGCTGTTTGTTGTGGCTTGAGAGTGCCTTCCTGTAATGATGCAGAGGGGTCCACTGAACCTTGGAATAAAGATATTTAAGCACATCTAGATGCAATGTCATTTTAATTTGCCAACAGCTCGCCAATGGTCACGATCAAAAACTCACCGAGTCAATGGGCAGTTTTCCACAATGTTTATTGCCATGTAATCACCAATTTGGTCCATTAAAAGTCTTGAGCCTGTAGCACATCCATTCTGGATCTGCAAAGCTTATGCTGTAGACGTGCGTCATCACATGAGCATGTTTCTTATCAATCTTAAACGTAAACGCTAGTTATGCAACGACATTCCCATATCACATTTTTAGCAAATTGAATGGTCCCACCTGTCATACTGTTAGCTTTGGAAGTAAACCAATTCACAATACCACCAATAGAATACATCGTGCCAAGCATTAGTGCCGCATGTGGCACAAGAAATGTCCTAACTAGGGAAGCAAACTTCATCGATCGTGTTGATTAAAGCACTCAAGTACGGGCGAAATCATCAATCAAAGAAGGTCACTCGAAAGGGAAGTTTGCTCGCTGAACGAATATGACTTTTTATTGGGCGTTCCGCAATGTAGGCCGAAGACATTCACTCCGTGATTGGTACAGAAGCATTTTCAATCGGTCGTGCGAGCGCAAAAAACAACAACAAAAACAAAGGTGGATTTGAAACGCGATAGATTCGCCTTTGCACGGAGTACTTACACTCAAAATCGTGTCAACATAAAGCGACTATAACCCACCTTGCTAGCAGCAATCTTAAAATTTATCCGTGTAGTCGTCGCACCCGTGCACCAACCGAAAGCGTTGCTGCAAGCCCCTCCGCCGTCAACTTTGAGTCGCTGTCGAGTCTGAAGAACTCTGCTCTATGAGGTCCACATCCAGCCACTGAGCACATACAGAAGCACAGGGAATAATACTCGGTTCCAAGTGCAAGCGAAGAACCCGGGACGGAAAGTCCTGAATGCCAAACGACCTGCGTCGGGCGACGGCGACTGACTGCGTAGTACACAGGTTGCGCTCCGGCGCTCTTTCGACGCCTGCATCGCTGCGGCGGGTGGTCGTAGGGTCGTAGCTCGTCGTAGCAGTTCGTGTCATCTCTGTTGCTCGTACCGGAACACTAGAGCCGCGTAATATTCTTGCTGCCGAAGTTTATAAGCCTACGTTCGCGCCCAACGCATATACACAAAGCCACCGCCCTGACCGCCCAGCGAACCTATCCCCCTCGTTCTCTTTCGGCGACCGGCCGCCAGGGCGGTGACACCGTCGCTGAAACTCCTCAATAGGAAGAACGCCAAGTTGTTAGATTTGTTGGAGTTCCCGCACCATTTCGCAGCACAGTACCGTCAAGGCATCCCCTTGAGAGAACACACGAGTGTTCAAGCTCAAGTTTATGCTCTACGTACGCCGATCCAAGCAAACCACCTTCCGCAGAACACTAGGAGAAATCGAACTCGGAGACGCGCAAGCGTTCACGCGCGCCCGGCGCACCGATGACCGTTGATAACCGCGCGCGGAGCCGCTGAGCGATATTAGCGCCAGTTGTAAACACGGCGGTGGGTGATTATCATATTGACGTCACCGTGACGTAACTTTTGAAGAGCGCCCTCGACGAGCTTTCAATGAACGCCGCTTGCTTCGGGAGCCTGGCCTAACTGCGGAGAACTTTGGCTACGTCGCACTGGACGGCGGACTTTGCTGCGTCGCACTTGACGGCGGGTTGCTGCATCGCACCTGCTGCCCTGGCGGGGAGTGAGGGAGAAACGGACCCTATATAAGGCGGAGCGCGAGGCTGCTCCGTTGTTCTCTCGGATTTGACGACTGTATCGCTACCATGTAATTAAACCGTTCGTTACGTTACCAAGTCTCCCACCTCCACTGAACCCCTGGGTTCTTCACTTCGGGGAATGGACGTCGTCTCGAGCCAGGAAGCTTCCGGACGTGCGGCCTAAACCCCGCCTCGAACAGCCACCGTTCTTCTCTCTCGGCCTTCTGAGCGTTCTCATAATTCCTCGCGCGTTTTGGCGCGCTGCCTTTCTGGATTTGTGCAAATTTATCGGGGATATCTGTGCCTCCATATGTTAAAATATAGATTTCGAACGCTTTTATGATTATTACAGCCTTATTTAGTGCAACAAGGAGGAAACATCAAGCAAAGGGAGGTGGTGGCATCGACAATCTCGATCCAAATGCATTACCCACCTGATTATAACTAGGGTTCCTCGTTTTCGGTTTCTATTTTTTCAAAATTCGGCGTACTTTTATCGGTGTTTATTTTAAAATTAAATTTTCGGGTTTTTTTCGGCGTATATTTATGCCCACCAAAATTTATCGGCTTTTTTCGGTCTATATAAAAATAAACACCACCGGACACCGGATCAGATGATCCTTGTAGCTCTGATATTTTTGATCACTCAAATAATAACGGCACAGATATATTGAAAAAGAAATAGACACTTTGTTTGGCAAATGTGTGCAGCTGTAAAGAATCAATAAAAAAAAAAAACAGAAGTAAAAACAAATCAGATATAAAGCCTATGCCCCCAAAAAAACATGGAACTTCACCTTCTGTATATCAGGATTACGTGATATTATTACATTAAACGCACATGTACTTTGCTAAGTTCTCCTCGTTGATCCGCACTCTTTCTTTCCTGTTAATATGACACTGAGCTTCGAGAATGCCCTCCCAACGCTAGCACTGGACACTGGCAGGCTGAGGAGATGAAGCGCTGCCTGAGTCAAAATCGGCTCATCAACCAATTGTGACCACCAAAGAGACACGGTGCGACGTTTTGAAGCACAACACAACGCATGCAGAGCTTACATGAGGTAAGTCTTCCTTACAACGAGTTTGAAAACACGCCCGTACATGGCGAAGTCATGGGGCATTTCGAACTTTACGTTCCGATCGATGATGCGCCAAACAAACCAAAACGTCGTGATGGCATCCGTGTATCCCATACATTCGGAAACGTTTCGATAGACACTGTCGTTCCACTTTTTCGCCACGGCTCTGCGGTACGACTGGAAGGTTAAAATGACCGTTTCCGGTTAAAACTGATTTTCACAAAATGGATTCGACGTACTTTTATCGGTTTTTATCGATTCAAATCGAAAATGCCGAACCTAAAAAACTGACCTTTTTCGGTTAAAACCGAATTTCCGAAATTGAATTCGGCGTACTTTTATCGGTTTTTATCGGGTTTAAACCGAAAACTCCGAACCCCTAATTATAACCCTTACCTTTTTTTTTTCTTCGTGTTACCCAATCCACGCGAGGAGATAAAGAAAAAGGTCTGAGCCACACAGAACATGAACCAAAAGTTCGTTTCCGAAAATGGAACTTTATTCGTCTTCTTCGATCGCGCAAAGAAAATACGAAAAAAAAAACAATCAAACATATATTTATGATGTGTAATAAATTAGCATATATTACACTCTAGGGTCGCACCGACCCTATCTTGACCGCCGCGGGGAGGGAGGTCGGGAAACATCGCATGCGCAGAAGAGACGCTCGTTCCTCGTTCCTGAGCACCATCGAGTGTTTCGAGGGCGTGGACTCGTCTCAGGAATATACAGTCATCAGGATCATCTGCAAGCAGCCAACGAGTAAAACATGCGTACGTTCAGTCGGAATCCGTCTCCGGAGATCGCTCACGAACTCCGCGAAGCAGAAGAGAAACCAACGAACAGAAACAAAGGACGCGGGACAGGTTTGACGTCGGCGGCGCCTTACCTCTTCTAAAGATATGGTGTTCTCTTTGAGTTTCTTTTCCACCTGGCCGTACCTGTCTGTGGGGAGTAAGGCTCTTATAGCGTCGGAAGGATATCGCCGCGGCGCCGGGCAACGTACCGTGGGCGAGGTACAGTTTGACTAGAGCTCCGATGAAGGCCTCCGCTGTGATGGTGCAGTCTTTGGCGTAGCGGATGACGAGGCATTCCAGGACCTTGTTGCTCACCGTGATGCCTGCGAAGGAAACGGGGCGTTCGTTGCTGGGGGTCTCGTCTCTCCGGGAAGATGTGTTCGCCCATCTCATTGCGCACCTCGTGCGTTTGTTTATTCGCCATCTACGCACACTTGCTTTTGTTTCCCTCCGACATCAATCGACGACGGCGCGCGTTTGGCTGGCTTGCAATCGCACATTGCCTCCGTGCTCTTTATCTGGCTCTCTGATTGGCGTGGGTTTCGTTCCGCCAAATACGCGTTTTTGGACCATTTGCTCGCCATACATACTGCACAGGGCCGATACCCGCATTCTACGGAATGCTTGTCATCCTGCCTGAGTGAGTCATGCTCTGGTCTAGAAGCGTCTCTTTGAAGGATATTTTAACGCGATAGCATTAAGGAGCTCATGTGGAAGAAAGGCTGGCCTCGGTGGCGTGGCAGAAAAGCCGGCGTCGGTGGCGTGACGCGAAAATCTTGATTGTATAGATAGGTTCATGACGTAACAGCCACATGACCTCGCGCGGGAATTTCAAACAACGCAGAACACTCACGTGAAACGTGACGTAACGCGTAGAATGAAAGTGATTAAAAAACACGTCATGTAAAGCGAATTAAAGGTAGCCGCATGTCTCAAATGATTTCACTTTTTAAAGTAATTAATTTACCTTAAAGAAAAATTTCAAAAATTTTAAACCGGATTTTGAACCACGACCCTTCGGTTGCGAGCCAGACACGCTACTGAATAGGCCACGCAAGGTTGTTTTTTTTTTTATTTATTTAGATTACGCAGGGCACACGGCAAATAAGAAGGCGATGCGAACGTACGGGGCCCGATAACGCTAGTGTCCTCTAATTTTGTGACTCAAGGCGAGATTCGATCTTACGTACAGTCCCCTCACTGAGAAGCAGTGGCGTATAGCCAGGAATTTTTTTTTTGGAACGGAGGGGGGGGGGGGGGGGGGGGGGGGGGAGCTGAGGTGATTGGGATATCCATAACTTGGGATGCGGAGAGGGGGGAGGGGGGGGGGTGCCAAAATGCTTACGTATATTGTAAAATCTGGTGGATTTTGGGGGAGGGGAGGGGGGGGGGGTTGAAGTCCCATAAGCCTCTCTCCTGGCTACGCCACTACTGAGATCCTATTCTACACACATTTTCAGGACTTACTCGCCTAGTCAAAAAATACAAAATCTGGGCTGTGGACGGATGCGCTGCGTCTAATATTCTGCAGAAAAGAGCCTTTGCACATGCTTGGAACGAGTTCCATAACCCAGTGGACAGAAATACTAACGCGCAGGACGCGATTATTATTCCTTAAGATTTTATTGCATGAGCTGTCAGTAATTGCCTCATCCTGCTGGCACGAAACACAACCAATTTTATGCCCACTGAGGAGTCAAAAATCAGAGTTCTGGCGAACTGGGGGACTGTACGTCAGGAGATGAAACGGAAAATGTTATACATCACTAATAATTGAAAACTAGCGTGTTGGTGAATACATACGAATACTTGGAATGATAAAACATCTAGGACGGGGACGGAAACAGGACTTCTTTCACTTATTTTGAAAGAAGTCCTAAGTTCCGTCCCCGTCCTAGACGTTTTATCCTTCCAAGTGTTCGTGTTTTTACATCGTGCTTACCTGCTTCCCACAGAAGAGGTCTCAGGTTGAAGCTACTCGTCCGACCCTTGTGAGGGTGGTCAAACTTGACGAAGACATTCTGTATTGAACGAGAAAGAAGAATATAGCCAAAGCTAGAACAAAGGTTGGGCGCGTGCTAATTGAGGTTGTACTACGTATCGCCGGTCATGAAAACACATTTAGGGCTGCTTGGTAAAATCGAATTGTGAAACCAGTGTGTTTCCTCAATTTGTTATTGTGCACGTTGCAACATGTAATTCGACGAAAAGTTCGTTTAGCATTACATTCGTAAATTTTAATGAAGTATTTCACCACACAGCGCAAATACAAAACGAAGTCAGTCCGTCCACGGCAAGAACGCGAGGTAGAAATTACGAAGAGTTATATTTGTACAGTAATTACAAGAACGTGTCGACAGAGTACTTTTAACGAGGTCGTATAAACTTATATAAAGGACAGGAATAGAAATGTTCACTAAATCCTGTCTTCACCCTCTAAGTTTATCTTGTTACTTTCGCTTAGCAGTACGGACTAAAAAACACATTTTGGAACGTCTTGAAAAGGAACATAAAAGATTGCATCAACGACCAACGTTTTTTGTCAGCCGCGTCAATATTGTGCGTTTTCATGACCGAATCCCTGCATATGTCTTGGTGGAGGAAGCATACCCGCCAAAAGTGAAGCATTCCCAGGATCAAGGGGACGTCCTTGATGCTGATCTTGCCGTTGATGACGGGCTGACCTTGGGTCAAGAAACTATACCATTACATGAAGCAGGAAACAAACAGTCATAATTCCGACAGAAGCAACCTATCGTCCCTTCTGTTATCGTTGCTAGATACATCCGGTTAACAGCCATATAGTCCACGGGCCGTATTACCTTTCTAAAGCGGCGAAACAAATTTGCCAATACCATACTTTGAAACAGACTGACCTGATTGTGTAAAAAGACGTATTAAATCTCAGCGTTTTAGGGAGCTCTAAATATTTGGCACATCTAATATGTCAGAAGGGCACGTTAAAGGCCTTCAGAACTAACTCATTTAAAGGGTCGGCGAGACACACCGGTAAGCGCGAGATCGCGAGCTAATTCGCCGATTCTTCGAGCAAAACACTCGAAGAGCCAATCTCTGCGATATACGAAATCAGCTGAGCGAATGATGAGGCAGAACATCCGTTCAGACCTCAAAATGAAGTCTGCGCTGTGGCATTACGCAGTGCAAGCATGACGCTTTGCATTGCATAACGCCATAGCGCAGACTTCATTTTTATATCTAAACGGATGTTCCGCCTCATCATTCGCTTAGCTGATCTCGTAGATCGCAGAGATTGGCTCTTTGAGGGTTTTGCGGATAAGTAGACGCGCAGACATTTCTTAGAGTGTGGTGTGCAAACTTGCTGGGACGTACAGTCCTTAGCGCTTTCGCTTTTGATGTGTCATTGCCCTCGGAGCTTCACTCACGATCATTCGTCGGCGGGGAGGTATGAGGTCATGACGATTTGTACGTCACGAAGCCGGCACTTCTACAAGCGTCACGTGGTCAGCGCTTTCGGCAAACTTGGATATTTCAGTTTTGGAATCGGGAAATAGAAAGTGGAGAAATTGTCAGCAAAAATATTCAAACCAGTCGCTCTTTTTTTTTTTATTACTATTATTATTACTATTATTATTGTGTAAGTTGGTCTAGCTTTTGAGGGTGGCTGTCTTCAAAATTACATTTGCAACATGGCCCATAAAACCAATAAATTAAAAGCTAATTAACGAATTTTAGTTGATGACTCGACCGACTGTGACGGTTCTTCGCCCCTCGAATATTCGCCAAGCTCAAAAAATCGTTCAGCCTTTCCACTCTTGTGAAGAAAGAAGACCAGCGGAGCTGTACTCAATACACTTTGTGCTTCTTCTTTGTCGTCGTCTGTTTTTCGCGCTGTTTCCTACGACGAATTCCCACCAACGCGCCCAACTATCCATTCTTCTATTGTAGCTGGAAAGGTTGCCGCCATCTACCAGCGACTGTGGTAACCATACTGGTTGTGTGCTTGCCGCCGTCGCTTATTGATGGCGGTAGCTGTTCAGGTAGGCTTGTGTCGACATACACGGACACGATCCTGGGGAACTTAGCCCTTAACAGCTCCGCTGTAAAAACATGGAGTGAAGACAGCATTCGCGTAGCAGTAAAGACGTCTCTTTTAAACATCTTTGCGAATAAAAAAATATCCCTCTGTAGATTCAGCAAGACGAGCACAAACCCACTATAGTTTGTATAACGTAATACTATTAAAAAGAAAAGCTGTAAAAATGAACCCTACTTGGCCCCAGATCCTTCTTTTAGTTATTTGTACTCTTCTAGAAAGTTCCAGCTCATGTTTGAATGCCATCAAATGTTCTGCTTCGAAACATTCCTGACCAGGATGCAAGACGCCTTCTGTGGTAATTTGTAGGCACAAGTTCGCCTGATCAAATGTCTATTTTCAGTTTCATATTCATATTTTATTTCTGTCCGTTACAATATTAAACAGCCTCGTCGTTTGACGACCTTCACCGTGCAGCGATTGGCTCTGCCAAGTGCTCTACGGGAAAGTAGACTTTCGATACTCCTTTTTTTTCAATTCTAGGTCACAAGTGAAAATCATTCCTGATAATCAAATCAAAGAATTTCTTGCCAAATAATACATTTCCAAGCAAAGTAATTATTATGGGTTTTCTTTCTTTGTTTTCCTTTAAAACAAAATTTAAAAAAAAGAAAATCTCACACGAAACATGATTAGTTTGTAAAACCGGAGTATAAATAAAACGTGACACGGTATAAATTTTAGCACATCTTATGCTAAACTCGATATGTCTTATCGAGTTCCTCTCTTCATGCGCCTCTTCACTTGTTTACCTCCGTAGTCTTCGACTGAAATTCTAGGAAATAGGCGGGCGAAGAACAGGCGCCGCTTCGCTCCTGCCTTGGGAATATCATTGGTCCCGCTCGAACAAATCGCCGTCTCCGTTTCACGCTCCATCGTGCCTCGAATCGAAGGATACGTCCTTGAGCATGACGAGATGTCGACACAACTCCAGGGTTGGCTTCTCCAGGAGAAGCTGCGTATCTGCGAGACACAGAGTTTCTGCGCAGAATCAGTCTCCCAACTCCGGAGAGGAACGGAGAAGTGACAAAAGACCTACGCGTTATTCGGTTTGGTGCTATATTTGGAGTGATAATAACAGGCATAGCCAGGATTACGGATATCTGCGTGCATACCCAAGGTATCCAGCGAAAAGCCAACATATTTCCCCAGACTACGAATCTTCGTGGCATGCTGCGTGCACGCTAGTAAAAGCATTTACTGAAAAACTGTTTTGATACACTAGCGCTTCGTAATATTAATAGAAAAAAAAGCCCAGATGATCAGGTGAGGATAACATTACTGTATAAATTTTCCTTTTTTTTGTTTTTGTAAACTGAGATAAAAATACACTACCGAAACATTGACTTAAAAACTGTTTGTTACACATAGTGCTTCGTGATATCAATAAAAAACAAAAAAAAACTGAGAAGATTAAGCGGGGAAAAATGCTGTATACATTTTTTTCTTATTGTAATAAATTACAATAAAAACACTACAAACTTTGCACACACTTCACGCGTTTTTTTTTTCTTCTTACGACAATCGTCATGTGAAACTGACTAGCTCACATTTTCACTTTTTTAATTTATTCGAATTATTTTGCAATAATATTCATAGAGTCTCAATAAATTTACGTATTTGAATGTTTTTTAAGAGGGGGTGATGTGCAACGATTTTAAGATTAAAAGAATTTACATCTCGTGATTTTTACGTTGTTTATTGTGTCCCGGAGGATAGAGAAAGCATCTCCTTCATTAAGAAATGTCGCGATTCCGCTGCATAATTACAAGGCAAAAGTCGACCTTCTTCCCCCCTTGCAGCCGCGAGTGGCAGCCGAAGGAGCTACGGCGACAAGCTCACGTGACCTCGCTCGGCTCTAAGCTACAGCATAACGCCCGCTATTGTCAGCCGAGAGAAGGAGAGGAAGCGTCTTACGAGAGAGCACACGGGAACCTACATGGCACCACGGATTACGTCACAAAGGGTGCGACCAGGTGTGACCCTGAAGACAGGGAGTGAGCAGAGAGGTGTCAAAAATGCCAATATCTATCTTTTTTTTACACAACAACTAGGACACGGAGGCAAAATCGGTTTTCTGTTCGTTGCTTCAGAAGTGTCAGAAGGCAACTTCCACAATTTTTTGACCCAAGTCCGGAAATCGTTGCACCCCCTCCCTTTAAAAACTCATGTAATTGTAAACAAACATTACCATTCCCAATCCGCTAATGAGTGTGTACATTACGGAAAAAAATCTAAAGATAAGATAGAAGAAACAATGGAAATACGTGAAACTGCATATTCGGGTAACGCACACAATAATCAGCTAGTGTTTTGAACTGGACTTACTCCTGGAGATGACGCGTAGAATCTTGAGCAGCATGTAGGCATCCAGCTCGCACGGGAGCTGCAAAAAGCAACGGGAGGGATTGTTCTAAGACCCACCACGCGCGCAGGTTAGCGGAGAAAACAAACAAAGACACGCAAAAAAAATCAGAACCCTACACAAAGTTGGCGCACCGGAAAGTGCTGCTACGCTTCACGGCAACTGTATAAAGACATTTGGGACCTTGTAACAAGGCAAAGGGACCAGCGCGTGAAACAGGAAGGAGTTGTTACTACACGGTTCTGTCTGGCCTTGCTTACTCTCTCTAAAGTTTTGTGGGTGCGATGCATTGTAAGATGCCAACTGCCACGTTAAACTCATCTTTTTACACTATTGCTACTTTCTAAATTTACAAGGCCGCTTTTAATGCGGGTTTCGACATTGTTATCTGTACAGCCGGCTCGTACACATACGGTGGCGCCAAATTTCGTTTACAAGAGTGAATTATCCCAAAGTGTAATTCGCAGGGGTTGGTCTCGGTCAAGCCTTAGGTGTGTGTGATGACTTACCTTGTGCGCGAGTTTGGAAAACACGGCAGGCCCATTCTTCATGTGCATATGAAAAAAAAAATAAAGGTAAGGTGGGACAGGTGAACGCAAAATGAAACCGCCTGGATTAGTTACGCTAACATCAAAGAAACGTAGGATATGCCCACTTACGTGAGCGGAGTTCACTATGCCGTTTTTGGTGAAGCTCAAACTTCGGTAGATGAGGTTATCATCGTTGACTTCCCTGCAATCACCAATGCACACAGTTAAAAAAAAACGAAAAAAAAAGTCAGCGATTTTATGAGTTTAAAATGGTCAGTATAGCGCACACAAAAGAAAACACGGAAGAAAGTAGGATGCATATAGCGCTAACGTGCAACGAAATTATATATTAGCAATAGATACTTTAATGGCAAGATAATGCTTGGCTTTTTCCGTGCTCTCTTTTGTGTGGGTTGTACGCACCGTCTTAGTCATGATCCACCAATTCTAGCCAAGCTTCAGTCTTAACATGTTCACATGAGTGTATGTTTTAACTTCCCATTTTCCATCTCCCCAACAACGCACCACAAACGTGTTATTTCATGCAAATAATAATTGAAGTGCGCTGTGTGCATTCGCTATAAGGACAGCCAACGCAGTTCTCGTTAAGTTCGCTTAAGCCACAAAATGCCTGTTTAATGTTACCTTGATCAGACCGAGAGTAATCTTGATATGAACATCGGCTACAACACACAAATGAGCCTCCGCCCGCCCCCGCCCCCCCCCCCCCCCCCCCCCCCCGCCCGCCCTTTTCCGGTGTCCCGAAGAATCACGAGACATTAACCAAAAACAAACTCAAATGCTTGGATGGAAACCTAAATCTGAACTCAAGCTGAAGAACCACGAATTGTGAAAATAGTTTCTATTTATAGCCAGAACATCTGGATAGCATGGAAAATTACCACAGCTTAAAAAAAAAAAAAAACATCTTTTTGGTAATACTTGGCGATAAACGTTTTGTTTCTTCTGAAACTAGCGGTGGAATTACGGCTGGAACGCCTTACACAAGCCACTCGTGCTGCAATCTTTCTTAACTCCGCTCCAATTTGAGTTGAAATGAAGAGCGGTGTTTAGGATACCCCTATCGCGCATTCCGCATTGCATATTCCGTTTTTGAAGTCAGTGCACATGCAATAATAGAATATCACCATCTCACCACAAAAACACTTCTTCATTCATCCGTTGTTGAAGTAAATAGCTGTAAACCTTTGTAGTTCTATACAAATGGCCCGAGTCATTTTCTCACCAGACGTTGCTATGTTCGTCGGTGAAGATGCGCAGGAGGAACTTGGTTTCGCAGTTGGGCGTGCTGGTGCAGGGCAGGACGATGTAGTCGCCAGCAGGGAGCGTAAAGAAGGTGACTGTCTCCCGGGTCGTTGTGTGCACTGTCACGTCCAAGGGGCGGTGGGCTCCGACGAACTGCGTCGTGAGCCGCGTCAGGTTCGGAGGAATCTGCAACCACAAAGCCCGCATAATCGGTCACCGCATTGCATTTCATTGTATCGCAAAAAACAAAAAAAAAAAAAAAACATAATCAGTTGCCGCCTTGCGTATATGGCTTTACCTTAGCGCAGTCTCAGCAAAGGTTCATGGGCCATGACTACTTAGCTCCAGTTCTTACTCGGACCAGATTGGCTCGTTAAATAAAAACGTTTGAAAGCAGAAAACCAGGTTAGTCCCTCAACTTCGAAGTTCCCACGAAACATTACACTGATGCCCTCTTCAACAGGCTGAACTCAGTCGACTGGAACGAGGTACCTCTTCCCTTTATTTGTGCGTGTCTTCACCTCCATTTAATTTTTTTTTAGTGGAAATTTATATGGCGTGTGACCTTTTGTGTTCACCTGGATAATAAGCAACAATAAAAAGAAAATCAAGCAGCTATGAAATTTTGATTAGACATAGGGCAGCAGTTGCAAGTTGGTTTCCTGGCTCACGCCAACATCGTGCTCAGGCCTCGTAGACCATCTCGCAAATAAAAGAAGCCCTCCTCCCCTTGTCCGCTCGCCTGCCATTTACTGTCGTTTGCTACAACCGGTTCCGTACAACTCGTTCCCGTCATTTCTTTCGGTGCCACTGCGCTGCACTTTTCGCAACAGGTCTGTTGCGCGTCGTAGATAAAACACATTGTCCGCGATCATATCTCACATAAAAATGACACGCATATTCACTTGCAAATGCGTACGGATAATTTGCAGCGCCTTTTTGCCTTGTCATGTCTCTTATTATATCGAAATGATTAGCCACGGTTGAACCACCATCGCTGTTGTGATCTAAGTTGCTTAAACAAAGGAACTGACGAGTCTAATTAATGTCAAAGGCCGGGATACCTCGTAAATGGCGAAGCCAACCGGGTGGAGGGTGTGCTTCTTGCCGCCTTCACGAATGACGTCCGTTGTGTACTGCTGCGTCACGGACACCACCATGTGACACTTGCTCGCGCTAGTCTTTGGGATTTGAACGTGAAACTGGGGGTTGCAGCCTGTGGTCTCTGCGAATGCAAACCAAACATATAACAAGACAGTTATCCATGTACCTGTTGATGACACTCCAGTGGTAATTGTCTTATGATTTGGACCTCACTAAATATTTGTAGAAAATTGTTCTGTAAACGATATTTTCCAGTCTGCGGCCCGTGAGGCTGAGGCTAAACACTCTAAAAATAGGGTTGAAGATGTGAGGTCATTAGACGGTATACCGGAGTAAGAAGGTCCACCGCCGGCGTTGTATCCCGCCCTCCACCGCCTCCTGGCCAGAACCGCCCTCCAGGGTTTCTTGCTGTGCAATGCGGACTCCTGCATCCAGTCGTCGGGGCCGATGTGAACCAGATCGAGGTGCGTGAAGTTGAGCGTGAAGTCGTCGAAAGACATCCTGTGAACAGAAAGGCCACGCAGTACAGCTTGCCTTCGCTGCCTCGATGCGACTTTTCCTTGGGCACAAAGAATGGACCGTGTTGGGTGCAAGGTAATTTTTGGGCAGAACTTCGTCGCAGTCTAGCCGATTGTCTCTCGCAGGAATAGCAGAAACAAAGACAATTTTTGCGCTAAAATTAATTCTAAGAAGATACCGGTTCCTCCCCCTTTAATAAATTTGGATTCATTTTTTTACATACTCCTTTTTTTGTTTGTTCTTAGTGAATGAATCACACGATAATAATTGTTTCTTGCGACCAAGCTGAAAACGATGTGCTATTGCGGACGAGTACCTTAGATAAGCTCGTGCAATCTGATGTATGCGTGCAAACAGCTTAATTTTCTCGAACCTTCTGACGCGTACGTCAAGAGTCATGTATGGGAAGTAGAACGTTCCTGTGCCGTCATCAATACTTCTCTCAATCCTCATTTTCCAATGCGCTCTTCTAACATCTACTCAATCTGAAAGGAGGTGATGACTATTGCAAGGTCGAGAGATGGATTTGAGACATTTTTCAAGCACTCTGCGCCCGCGCATCCCGAACACCAAACTACAACAAAAACGTCCATCAGCTCCAAACCTACCAGTAAGATTTCATAATACACGTATCGTACACGCTTCCGGCGATGTGTGACAGCGCGTTTGAACACTGTGATCCTCATGCGAGGTCCCGTACCAGAACTCTCCTTCCGAAGGTGGCTGCCGGACTCCCAGCAGCTGGCGGTCCCTTTCGGAGAGACCGTCCCACTCCCAGGACCGGTCGCTCCAGGGTCCGTTCCATTCCCCCCGTCCCCACGGGTTGCGCAGTCGAATCAAGGTCACCTCGCCCTGTTTCACACGAACCTGGGAAAGAACGCGCCGTTGGGCATTTCACGAGAAAAGCTCGCGGCATTCATTCCTTCATTTATTTTATTTAGTTTTATTATAAAACTTCAGATCGATACGCCAATAATCTTGGGTCCAGTGACAAAAAAAATTTGGTACACGGAAGACAAAGTAAGAACACCACAAATTTAAAAAAAATGCAATATAAGATAACGAACAACACAATAAATATTTATATATGTTACTAATTGTAAACGCGAGATGACAAAACTTATTCATTTGCAAATTATTCATAACATTTTTAAAGATGCCAAAAGCTTAGTTTTCACTTTCACGATATATCCTTCCAGATTAAGGCACCGTTGAACTCGATCAATTCTGGACTGCCTGGGCGGACCTTGGTTTTATGCTGGGCTTAGACAAGAATATTTGTAGTGTAACCATTTTACGTGATCCTTAACGATTACTAGTAACAAAATGAGGAATCATTTACTTTCCGGAGTCATATATATATCACTTTTTACATCCCCACGATATGGGATAAGTTATTGCTGTAAATTGTAGCATTTTCTTTTCCTTATACAATTAATATGAACGGGAAAAATATCGCGACAGGATCAAAAATGGAGAAACTAAAACTATTGGCATACTGGATGTAACATGTGTTCAAATATACACAAAAAATATAATGATTCACCGTCAATTATGTGACCACTTGAGAACTGATCGTTTGATTATTTCGAATATCAGGTAACTGAATATTAAAATCCAGTACTTTTGATTATGACTAATTGCGATTATAAGCAAGTACGTTTGGACACCGTATCGTAGAGGACAGCACACATGCCAATTTGACCAAATTAGACCAGCTAGGTTTCCATCTTTTTGAAATGGGAGGCAGCCTCCGGCGCGTTTAATATGCGAGATATGGGAGTTGGTGGGGCGCTGTGTCCTCTCCGGTACCCAATTGGTGACCACTATTCGTGTCTTTCCGACTTATACTCTTCGACAGACGTAATCCTCATCTCATTGCGGCTCGCCTTCAAGTTGCTGTGCCACAATAGTAACAGTATCAATATATATATTGTGAGGATGTTAAGAAGGTGATTTAATGAGAACTGGATAGAGGTGTTCAAGCGACAAGATCGTTGTGCAGCTGAAGAGCGCGCGCAGCTTGGACCTCCTCTTTCAGCTTCGTCGTCTTCTCCCTAACACTTCCCCCGGGCGGGTAAAGGGCCGGTCCACCGGCCTTGGTGTGTTCAGTCGTAGGGTGGGTGGAAAGGTTTCATGCGGGAAACATGGACAATGTCACGTGACTTCGTGCGGTGATCTCTAGGTGGTGCCACTGGTTCCACTTCGTAGTTTGTAGGAGACAGACGGCGGAGAATGCGAAACGGCCCAGTGTATTTCTGGAGCAATTTTTCACATTTACCTGGCTTGCGGAGTGGGGTGGCGAGAAGGACTTCGTCACCAACGTTGTAGGATGCTTCGCCATGCGTCTGTGCGTAACGAAGCTGTTGTTGCTGCTGCGATCGTAGCGTTTGAAAACGCGCGAGTTGTCGAGCATCCTCCGCGCGGCAGATGACCTCTGAAGGATACGACGTGTGAGGTTCATAGACGGAGGGTAAGATAGTATCAAGAGTTGTAAGTGGTTCACGGGCGAATAGCAAGTAATACGGTGAGAAGCCTGTCGTTGACTGACGCGCGGTATTATAAGCGAAGGTCACATATGGGACAATAGCGTCCCAGTTTGTATGATTTTCCGCGACGTACATCGACATCATCTCTGATAACGTGCGGTTAAGGCGTTCTGTTAGCCCATTGGTTTGGGGATGATAAGCGCTGGTTAATCTATGAGTTGTGTTAGCCAGGCGCAAAAGATCATCGAGGAGCTTAGCTATAAAAGGAGTGCCCCGATCGCTTATTATAACCTGGGGTGCACCATGCCGGAGGAGAATGTTGTGCAGAAAGAAAGTTGCCACTTCTTGGGCTGTGGCGGTTGGAACACAGGCTGTTTCGGCGTATCTGGTGAGATAGTCTACAGCGACAATTATCCACCGGTTGTTGTTTGTAGACGAAGGAAATGGGCCGAGAAAATCGATTCCGATTGTTTGGAAGGGTCGATGAGGCGGTGTTATGGAATGCAAAGGGCCGGATGACTGAATGGTTCGAGTCTTGTGAAGCTGACATTGGTGACACGTGCGAATGTACTTGTTGATGGTGCGATACATGCCATTCCAGAAGTAGTTCGAACGCACGCGGAAGTATGTCTTTGCGAAACCGAGATGTCCAGCGGTAGGGTCATCGTGGTGTGCTTGGATGATGTCTTTTTGGAGGGTCCGAGGAACAACGAGCAGCCAGGGTCGTCCATGTGGCTCGTAGTTTCGTCTATAGAGGACACCATCACGAAGGGTGAAGAGACGAGCGCGCTGTTGGGTGTGCCGCGTGAGAGATCCAGGAATCCCCATCAAGCATTGTATTAGTGGCCGGATATTCTGATCGGACGCTTGAGCAGCTGCGATGTCAACGGTATCCAACAGAGCGATGGAAGAATCGTGGTCGCTTGGAGGATGATGTGAAATGTCAGTGGGGAGAGGACATCGGGACAGCGCATCGGCATCCAGATGACGTTTTCCTGACTTGAAAACAACGCTAAAGTCGTAGTCTTGAATTTTCAGCGACCAACGCCCAAGGCGGCCAGATGGATTTTTAAGGCTGGCAAGCCAGCATAGGGCGTGGTGGTCTGTAACAATTTTAAAATGGGTGCCGTAAAGATATGGTCTGAATTTCGATATCGCCCATATTAGCGCTAGACATTCACGCTCCGTAATACTGTGATTTCTCTCACACTTTGTTAGAGTTCGACTAGCGTATGCTATGACGCGTGGGCGACTATTTACATTTTGCGCCAGTACAGCCCCGATGCCATGTCCACTGGCATCCATTCGGATTTCCGTGTCAGCTCCCTGTACGAAGTGGCCAAGTATTGGGACGGAAATGAGTGCACGTTTAAGAGATAGGAATGCCTGGGCCTGGGAGGGTCCCCATTGGAATGTAGTGTTATTTCGAAGTAGTTCATTCAGGGGTTCGGCGAGATCCGAGAAACGAGGGATGAATTTTCGGAAGTATGTACAGAGTCCAAGAAAAGCCCGGATGTCTTTTGTGGCTCTGGGATTTGGAAAGTCAGAGACAGCTTGGACTTTGGTGGGGTCTGGGCGGATGCCTTCCGAGCTGACTAAGTGACCCAGAATCCGAATTTCCCGAGCCCCGAACGTACACTTTTTTGAGTTCAACTGCAAATTAGCGGAGCGAAAGCAGTCCATAACTTGCTGGAGTCGATGTAGATGATCTTCAAAGGTAGAGGAGAATACAATAACATCGTCGAGGTAGCAGAGACATATGTTCCATGTTAAACCGCGTAGAACACTGTCCATCATCCGCTCAAACGTCGCGGGAGCGTTGCACAGGCCAAAAGGCATGACATTAAATTGGAAGAGACCGTCCGGAGTGACAAACGCGGTTTTTGGTTTGTCCGCGTTGGCAACCGGGATTTGCCAGTAGCCGCTACGGAGGTCAACAGATGAAAAGAACGAAGACCCTTGAAGTGCGTCGAGCATGTCATCGATACGAGGGAGCGGATATACGTCTTTTTTAGTTACCCTGTTTAGACGCCGGTAATCAACACAAAAGCGCCATGAACCGTCTTTTTTCTTAACGAGAACCACGGGGGAGGACCAAGGGCTGGATGACGGCTGTATAACATTGTTTTTCAGCATATCAGTCACATGGTCTTGAATCACTTTACGTTCCGCAGGTGAAATACGATACGGGCGGCTCCTAAGGGGACTTGTGTTTCCCGTTTCAATCTGGTGGTGCACCACAGATGTCTGTGGGAGTGCCGAGCGGTTGAAGTCAAATAAGTCGCTATATGCGTCCAGAAGACTGGAAAGAGCTTGCCTTTGGTCGGTTGTTAAGCAGCTGTCGATCATCAGCGTTGTATGTTTGGTGGAGCACTGGGTTTGAGGAATTGGCTGCGAGTGGAGATGGCACGTGTCTTGAGCCAAAACGGCGAGGCTATCATGGTCGAACGTCCGGATGGTTGCAATACCAGCTCCTCGAGGTAATATGAGCGGCTGTGCAGAAGCGTTTGTAACGTATAGATTAATTTGGCTTGCTATTACGGCGACGGTACAGTAAGGCAGAAGCAAGCCCCTTTGCACGAATGTGGTAAGCAGTCGCTCGACAAGACCGTAATCTCCTTGGAAACTGAACTCAGGCTCCAGTGTTACTTCGACAGCAGTCAATGGTGAGATACATAGATCGGCTGTCGTTCGAAGGACAACAGGATCACAACCGGTAAATTCGTCTGTGTCAGAAGTGTTTAAATGCAGCTGACGTTCCCCACAGTCAATGATGGCATCGGTTGACGACAGGAAATCCCACCCCAGTATCACGTCAGCCACGCAGTTCGAGAGGACTGTGAAGACAACAACGTAGCGATTGGAGCCCAGAGTCACTGAGAGTGTGGAACAGCCGAGAGGACGTATTAAATCTCCATTTCCCATACGTAAAAATCGTCCAGGTGCTGGCGTCAATACTTTGTGCAAACGCCGTCGGAAAGTGTCAGAGATACAGGATTTGGCGGCACCGGTGTCTACGAGGGCTATAAGTTTTTGTCCGTCAATTTCAATAGCAACAGTCGTTGGGCCATCTCCAGGAGGATTTATATTGCAGTTTCGTGGTGCAGCCTGACCTCCTGTGGCAACGCAGGCTGCGGGCTTTAGTTTGACGTTGTATTTGCGACGGCGGCGACATTGAGGGGCGACACGGAGCGCTGGCGTCGAGGGTAAGGAGACGGTGATCGGCCTCTGCGATTGTCACGCTGTGAAAATGGAGCTGGGGTCTGGCGGTCAACGGGACGGCTATCGTCATCGGGGGAGTAACGTGGATAAGGTTGAGGGAAACGGCGATACTCGTCAGGGTTCATGCGACGGCGGCAGTAGCGCGCGACGTGGCCGGGTAAACAACAATTAAAACAGATGGGTCGCTGGTCTTCCGTTCTCCAAATGTCACTTCTTCGGCGCGGTGCGTAGGTTCGCGACGCTGGGGAGGCCTGATTGAAACGGGAGCCTGGGTAGAAGTGCGGCGCATCATGTGGCATGGTACAGAAGAGCGGCGGTGCGGGAGGTGGTGAAGCATATGCCGACGTCGATGGCGTCAGTGATGCAAGCGCAGCATGAAGTTCGTTCTGGACGACTTTCTGGACGCTCTGTGCCTGAGGGTGGGTTTGGGTAGTCTCGGAAGGTGGACGGAGGTGATCAAGAAAAGAACGCAGCTCTTCCCGAATGATGCTGCGAATCAATGCCGGCAAGTCAACACCGGCAACAGATGCAACGGATACCTCTGGAAGGCGTTCGAAAGGTGCTTTTGAGATCCGTGCACTCTGCAGTTCTTCGTACTTTTTGCACTCACCGATTAGTTGTTGGACGGTCGTGGGTGACTTGGGTGCGACAACAGCGAAGAGGTCTTGGGATAGCCCCTTAAACAAATGACGGATACGATCTTCTTCGGTCATGTCGGCATCCACTCTGGTGCAGAGACGAAGGACATCCTCAATGTAGCTAGTGGAAGATTCGGTGGTGGCTTGAAATCGGCGAGCCAGCTTGTCTTTCGCTTGCTGTTTGCGTCGTTCTGGTTTTCCGAACGCCTCCGAAAATGCGACTGTAAAGGCGTCCCACGAACTGATTTCATCCCCATGGTTGTCAAACCATTGCAATGCAGTGTCTTTCAAAAAGAACACTACATTGGCCAACTTAAAGCTGTCGTCCCATCGGTTGTGGTGACTTGCGCGGTCATAACTTTTCATCCAGTCGTGAACGTCAGTGTCAGGAGAGCCAGAGAAAAGAGGAGGGTCCCGTTGCCGGTTCTTGACGGTCGGTGGCGATGGAGTGGAACCGGGGGGTGCCAGGCCGTTTGAAGTACTTGCTCCTTGAGACATGGTGTTAACGGTGCGCCCGCTACGTAACTCCAGAACAGCGGTCAGCCGAGAGGTTGGAAAACGTACTGACCTCCACCAATTGTGAGGATGTTAAGAAGGTGATTTAATGAGAACTGGATAGAGGTGTTCAAGCGACAAGATCGTTGTGCAGCTGAAGAGCGCGCGCAGCTTGGACCTCCTCTTTCAGCTTCGTCGTCTTCTCCCTAACAATATATATATATATGGAGCAGTAAGAAGCCAGTGAATGAGCTCTTCGCAAATGGGAACTCTCATCAATGTGCTGAAAAACGCTTGCTCTCCTAAAACTTATTAGTCTGCTTACAATCTGTGTGACGATTATCCTTCTCGTAGTGCTGCGTTTACATTCTTTATTGGTTATACAATTGCATAAAAATGGCGTAATTTGGTGAGATATGTCCCTTCAGTAACGACCTGAAAGCGTACCTTTGCTATTCCTGTCACGCTATACGCATGCTGCGTGTAAAGCCCGTTGTTGAGACGTGCGGGACCTTTGTGATGATCCTGCAAGAGAAGGCAAACAAACGAACAAGAATACTATTTATTCATTGAAGCTTTATTTAACACATCACGAAAAGACACTCACTTTCTTAACTAAGTTCTTTTAAACAATCTTTCCTTCGTGACATATTCTAAGCCGATTGCATGTGTCGTTGTGTTCACATTTCCGGCACGCCCGCCGTATAGGTCTAACCTTATAAAGCCACGTAATTTTGGTTGGCTGTTATATTGTTTTTCTATCATAGTGGATTATACTACTGCCAAAGGGCATCCTCTTAGGCAATTAGCTGCCCCGCTTTGGTTGAGTCAGGGACAGAATTCGAGGAGGGGGGGCGACCGCCCCCCTCCCTTTTTTTAAGCTCTCGAAGGTCAACTTTGTTTGAATAAAATCATTAATATACACCAGCCAAAAGTTCAGTTTTCGGTGACATATCGAATACAGGGGCAACAAAATAAATCTGGGCAACGTTTCGACCGTAATGTCATTTCTCAGCGAACTACCTCCCCCTCCCCCCCGGTCCGCCAGCCGAGTGCCTACCGCCCCCACCCAGGCCTGACCCATAGATCCGCCCCAGGGTTGAGTCGACGTTCCTGAACAAAGCGTCAGATGGACGCAAGTGGTGATCAATGCTGAGAATGACGCAATACTGTCGCAATCTAAGACAATCCATGGATCGCTTTTCAGTATCGAATTGGATGAAACAGCCTTCGTGGTACTCCTACCGGAATGATGCAGGCCGCCATGAGGGTGGACCTTGGCACTGCACTGGAGACCATCGAGAAGGCCATCGGAGGATCGACGTTGGCCATCTGGAACGTCTGGGCCACTCCGCCCGTCAGGTCTTGCAACGCACGACCCGTGTGGCCCGTCTGCAGCTGGTCATAGCCACCGTAAAACCTGCAGTCCAAGTAAAATGCGCAAAAATTACATGTAAAAAAAAATACAATGGTTTCTTTGGCACCAAGGTGCCATAGCCTCTATAGATGACATGCTCATGCTGTAACAGAAACTCGAGTCACAAGGAAGACAAGGCTTTCCATCATGGTGGAATGATCCCGTTCTGGTGGCGAAGAAAGCGTATAAAGTGTACCTTTTGCCCTAAATTAGTTCTTAATTAGTAACGCAAAAAAGGAATTAAAAAAACCAGAAGCGCGAGAAAAGGGGGAGGAACGTTTTTTCCCCCGTGACTTTTTTTTTTTTTAAATTATGTATTATTATGCAGCTCGATCGCCTCCTCGTGTACTCTTATTTCAGACGTGGACGTTCCCTCGCCCAATCTGTCAGCACTCCTGGAGCCTGATTAATATAATATAGTATGTCTAGATTGCGTTTTGTTCGCACGAACACTTGCGCATAAAAGGTCCTCTAAAGACCGCGCGATCGCCCTCGGTGCAACTCATCTCAATTACCATAGATATGTTCCCGTGTTTTCTTAGAGGTTCTTTTTTTTTTTAAATAGTGTTGGCCTTTGATATTGTAGCTACTATAGCAAGGTTGCTTTCCAGCTCCAGGTTGTGTAAACGCGACCGAGACAGAGTGCAAACCTGACCAAACGCAAGCATATGAAGGAGTCAGTCACACACTCGCCGTACCACGCATGCGCAACGCTTATAGTATATACACTCCATAGACAGGGAAAGAGTGGCCCTTACTTGGCGTACGCCTTCTCCAGCAGGGCGGCCCAGAACTCGCTCGGATCCGCCGAGTGCATGTAGATGAGGCGGCCGCGCTGCGTCGGTAGGCGGTCGTCGACCACGAGCTCGTGCCACTCGCCGAATCGCCAGAAGCGAAACCGGAAGAGGCCGCAGTAGCCTTGCGCGAAGCCCTGGTCCGACGGCACCACGCGGTCCAGGAACCGGGGCGTGCCCGTCAGACACGAGATGGCCGACAGAAGCCACCGGTCACCTGCCGCCACAAAAAACGCAGAAAATGTTCGGGGTGTCTTTTTGCATTTTTTGGTGTGTTTTTTGTTTAGACACAACGTTTCGAGAGATTGGGCACAAGACAGATACACTTTGCCCGATGAGGCCCAGTCACTGACCGCTAAAGAAACGTGGGGCTTGTTGAGTCCCGAGCGTCTAATTATCGCTCCGGGCCAATCAGATTGCAGCATCAGCCGATAAGATTGCCGACGAGCCAACCACGAAGCAAGATAAGCATTAACATAAGAAGCCACACCCTGCGTTGCTTAAGCTGTCTATGACATGGGTACATTGCATCAGCAGGCAATGGAAAACGCAAGTATTAAAAAGCAAGAAAAAACAAAACATCGACAGGAAACAAGAGCACAGCATTATTTATCTGATCATATATCTACGAGAGAAAAAAAGTACTCGTCATATATATATATATATATATATATATATATTTGAGTCCTGTGTTCGATCGAGCCGTATACATTGCAGAAAGGTGTCAGACTCCCCGCCACTTCTGAATTCGCTTCTTAAAGACGTACACTTCGAGAGAGACATCAACAGACATTGAAGCGTCGTGTAATTTGCCGATGGGATTAAATCAGGGTAGGAAATGGTAACTACCGTTAAATATATTCAGCGTACACACGTAGGCTAGCTGTGTAATCTATTCATTGCTGCAGAAATTTTACGATTGACGCAGAACTGGACGCAGCATAGCATTGAGAATATTCTTAAAACATACGTCTGATTCTCCGGCGTTTATGTATAAATGTGACTTTTCCCTTTTTCCTCTCTTTAATCTAAAAAACAACAACTAAAAAATGACTTGTTTTCTTTTTTGTTTCTTCTACTATTGGGCTGTGATTATGATAAAAGTTTAATAGGGTTTTGCACGAGACCATAATGCAACGTTATTACTGGTTCGGAAATCACGCCGGAAACCACCGGGATCCATGGTGGAGGTGTTCGTCGCTGTTATCCAATGTTTCGTGTACTTTGGGGTTGCGTTCGCGCTGTAGTTTGTCCGCGCACCCGAGGTTTAAAATGGTTAGTTGGCCGCGAATAATTGTTCCAGCCGTAAAAAGCGGCAAGAAAAAAAAAAAAAAAAAAAAAAAAAAAAAACTACGAATTTTTTTTTTTTATTATTATTATTATTATTTCGGCCATTCTTAAGAATCAGGACAAGGCGACGCTCAAGCAATCGGTTTGCCGGTGTCATGAATGGCTCCGAATAATACGCCGGAACAATCCCAACAGAAAATCTTCGCACCAACTAAAGCTGGAGTCCCACTGCTTATACGTCCTACAAAAGACAGTCTGCATACAGATTGGAACGCGAGACACCGCGAGATCCGTGCTTCGAAGGCCGCATGGCAATGAGATGAGGGAGAAAACTTGGCACGCGGCATTCGAACCAGCTGATAGTGCGGTGAATCGTGTTTGCAGACTGTTTTTCGTATGATGTATAAGGAGTGTGACGCCGTCTTAAGGGGGTTTGTGGACTGCACTTCGTGTCAGGTGAGAAACCGTTTTGTGATTGAGGTCACAGGGGTCTCAAACACGCGTCCCGCGGCTCTCTTGGGCGTGGCCCGTGAGTCTCCCGTGGCTGCGAGTCCGACATGTACGAAACGCGTTACTATTAACTGGTTACTTCTACCTAGTTATTTTTTTTGGTAGCGAGTAACGCATTTAGTTACCTTTTTAAAAAGGGAACGAGTAACGTACTTCGTTACTTTTAGGGCCAAACAACTAGTAACGGTATTTCCTTACTTTTGAGGAGTACACGTGTACAACACCGTTTAAACAGTCTCGTTTTAATTCTAAACCGAGCATGCGCCTATTGCGACAAAGGCAGATGGGCGACCCGAAAAACATCTAAGCAGTATGACAGGTATAGCAACGTTTATCGCTGAACACGTCATCAACTCTAGAGCTGGGAATGTCCTTCACTCGGCGAACACAATAAAGTTTGATGGTTCAACCTTCTAGGATCGCGTATTGACCGTATGTAAACCTGGGAGCTGCCAACACGGGAAGGCACAGAACCGATTGTCAACTTGGAGCTTTAGAAGCAGAGACAACAAAAGAGAGAGGGGAATCCCAGATTCACCAGCTCTTCTTGATGCACTACGCACTGCCGTCCCTTCGAGCGAGTCAGAAGAACGACTCTCCAGCGTCGCCGCAGATGCATTCGCAAGGAAGCGGGAAAACAACTGATGAAAAATTGTGGACGCAGCTACTGCGTAAGAGCAACGACTAGTGAAAAGAAAACAATAAATCATGAAACAAAAGCAAAAGACGTAACAATGTGCCGCAAGGTGTCGGGGCGGTCAGAAGGGAGGCATCGCCGGAAGTCACGTGAGTTGTATCCCTCCTCGTGCTTACCGCGAGCGCGTGTAATATTTTTAAAATATTTTTGTTATTCTCCGCACCTCCACGAGCGATATCCAAACAGACAAGGTTTCTTTTATTTGCTTTTCATCGCTTAATGTTGCTGTAAAGGTAGAAGAAGAGGAGTCAGTGAATTGACGTGATCAAGTATACAATGCCTAGAAGGTGCTGTGTGAGAGACTGTCCCGGTATTTCAGCAACTGAAGAAGAGATGACACTGCATGCATTTCCGAGAGACGGTAGGCATCCTCAGCCGGGAGAGTATACGATGATTCGACGACCTCGGTGTCCGAAGCTTCATCAATGCAATTGGACGAGTCGTACGCAAGCAATCCTAATTTCTGCGAGCGTTCTAAAATTTTTTTTTCAAAGCTTGATAGCTTTTTTTTGTGCCCAGTATAGACATTTCCAAAAAAAAGAGCGTGTGGCCGGAGCCATTTTGAGTGTTCGTGCGTATGGCGCGTGCTTTGCTCGCTTTCCGAAGCGACGAAGACGCACGTGCTGGGCTGTGAAGATCGCACGCTGGACTGATTTTGTAAACATTGGAAAGGCCTATAGCTCTGTATCATCGGAGTGACGGCACGCACTCGTACACTGGGTTGTACTTGCAACGCTTTCATCATTGACCTCCATCACGTCGACCCACTGACTCTTCGTCCTCAACTTTTACACCACGCAAACTAACCAACGGTCCAGCGATAAAGAGCTATACTTCGTTTCAGCTTCGCTCCAGACGCAGTCAAAGCTACAAGCGCGAGCTCCGGGCTTTCAGCATCCCTGCCAAGCACGCGCGCTCGTGCAGTGCAAGCACTGTTCTGGGGCACATGCTCGCGCTCGTAGCATCGGCTGCGTCTGGACCGAAGCTGAAACGAAGTTTCAGTGAAACTGAAACTTCGTTTTTTCCGATCGCTCGTACAAAGAGCAGAAAATAAAAAAGTCGTAGGCACGGTCGCGGAGAGCACGAGGAGTGAAACTCACGTGACTTCCTGCGAACCCACTTTTAGTGACGTATGTCGGTGCCTCCCTTCTGACCGCCCCGACAGCTTGCGGTATACTGTTACGGCACAGTGCACTGGCGGGAACTTTGAATTGGGCCTCCTATTTCTATTTTTTATAAAAAAAAAACTACGCACCTCTAAGTGAAACATTTTTTTTGTAATGTTCTGACATGCCATTTCAACGCTTAGCATGAAAAAAAAAGTTTTGGCATGTCAGGGGCGTTTTAAGCAACATAGTAATGATACTGTGCTTGGTTTCTAATTGCATTAAAAAATTCCAGCGCGTTGGCTGGATGATAATATTTTAAATAATGTAATGACACTAGGTACAAACCCGAAGTAGTTGTACGAATAGGTCGAAGACAGCACTGGCGAAACGGTATTTTACAAATACCAAATGGCACAAGATCCCTTCTTTAGGAAGTCCCTGGGTGTCTCTGAAAGACTCGGCTGCTTTGCAACGTGGAATATCATCTCTCTTATTTTTTTTTCTAATATATATGTAGTCCCCCGCCCTATGTCGGTCCTCGACATTTTGTGGGGGGCTACCTGGCCCCCACACTGAAATGAGTTTGAGACCCCTGGACTGTAGGACAAGTAAAGCAAACGAAATTAGTTGTGCGGCAGCTCCAGTCTATATATGTGTAGCCAGTAAAAAATGTCAAAGACCGGCTGCAGTGATAATAAATTCTGCACAATAACCCCCGATAATTTCACGTATAGGTAACGGCGCTCATTTTCTTGTCCGTCACCGCAAATGATTAGCAGGCGACGCATTTTTCGCCGTCCGACGGCACTCTTGCGAGGCATTCAAGTGCTGAGCTACGGCACTCCACGTGCGCATTGAAGTGGAGTCCGAGGATGTTAAACACAAGTCACGCTTATTCTGACCTGTGTTTCATCAACTGCTCGCCACCATTTGCTTTAGCAATTAAGTAAACCGCGAGCTAGGCGGACACCAGGGCTCTGCGGCACTATAGCTGCCGTATAATAAGACGCTGAGTGCCTCCAACATGGCCCCAATGCACTGACGGCAGACGACAATGTTGGTTTCGATTTCGATGCTAACCGGAAGTGACGTCAGGTGGAAGAATCATATGCGGAAGTGACAAGAACATGTGACTTCCTTATTACATTGACTCATGATCGTCTCGATCTTGACTACTCGTACTCCTGTAACTGCAAGCTCAAATCATGCTCCGCAATAAAAATATCTCTGCGGAGATCATAAAATTTCTATGTCAGGTTATTTATTTTTTAAATTAAATCGAAGGTCACATGTGTGTTACTTTTCTTTCTACTTCAAGCGGGAAATCGTAAAAAAATCATAAATAAGCATTTATCAGCCACTGGCAAGGAGACAAGTTGCCCACCCATCTCGGGAATAACAGCGATCTTGTCATCTCCTCGACGTACCGCGGAGGCGTCAATGACACACAGTGACCGATCGCCTGTCGGACGTCGTTATTCTCTCGGTGCATTGAATCTCTAAATTTGATTTCCTTTCACCGATGAGTTGAGTACGTGTACCTCGTACGGCGTCCACACGGTGCGGCGGTGCGACCTCGCGAACCTCCTCACCCGAACAACCATGGTGTCCACGCCTCCTTCGCCGATACAACAATCCGTACACGCGAACCTGTTGCGTCACTCAACTCTTGCATCGTTCTCACGAACGCGTTCCGCAACTTTGACCTCATCTCCCGGTCAAGAGGAATTGCACGGAACAAATAATCCCGGCCTTCATTCGTTTTGTTTGACGCATAGCTCCTTCTCCTCAAAGCTAACTTGCTCCTCAACTGAACACAATCTCGTAATTGGAAATTTGCACACTGTTTCCATGTTGACGCCATCATTATCGTCGAAAGGAAACGCCTTAAAATTATAGTGTTTATTATATAGAGCCATAATAATCTACACTTACCGCTCATTCACACTGGAAGCGGATCCGCGTTCGCAAAGCGGTTGCGAACGCGGTTGTATAAAGATCCAGTACAACCGCACGCGCACTTGATGTCATCGAGTGCACGTGCAATTGCACTGGATCTTTATACAACCGCGTTCGCAACCGCTTTGCGAACGCGTATCCACTTCCAGTGTGAATGAGCGGGTAGAGTACCGTCATTCCAGTCCCTAATTTTCTTGTGGGCGTCGCAATTTTAATGCTTAATTAGTGCAGAGCGGGAGCGATCGCTACGATTCGAAAAAACGACTACTTCAGCTTTATGCGGAGAGCATGACGTCTGCTTTTTGCAGACCGCAGCTCCTGCGTAATTGATAGTGTTTGGACCTCAATGCTAGATGCCTTGAGGTCTACCCACTATTTTTTTTTTTTAATCAACCAATAAGAGCTCTGCGTTCTGACATCATCGTAACCCCTGTGCAAGATGCAGACGAACCTGCGCTCCGCATATACGTGGTGTCAGGGAGCCGAGGCAATATCGTACTGCTCCGTCGAGGCCAGTTCTAACATTTCTGAAGGATCGAAAACTGTTTCCTGCGATTTCAGCTAAAGCTTACGAGAACTGGCAATCATCATCGGAAGTACCAAGATGGCTCAAGTGTCTTTACTCCGGTCCCTAACCTATTAAATAACTCTAATTATCTCATTTTTTTTGCTGCTTTTTGGAGTGTTTCGAAGCCGAAAGGTTCATAGACATTTTTTCTATACTCGTTTTCACCTCAAGAGCGGTAGTAAAAAAAGTCCGGCTCCCAGCGGAGCATTACTAATTTCTGCCTTTATATTAAGAATTAAGATATATGTAGGGACATCTTAAATTTAACACATATTTTATCTTATCAAGACGTACGCGTTTCAGACGCAAAGAGCATCACTTCTCCTTCCGACAACCGAATCCTGTAGGAACTACTTCGCGCAGCGTATGAACACTGCGCAAAACTTCCTTTTCACTCGAGGTGAAAACGAGTATAAGCGCGAGGCTTACGAATGTTATTAGCGCATCTATGCACAAGGCTGGCTCGGACATTTTCGCTAAGCTCCGTACATTCGGTAATCAATACAAGAAATATCGTCGAAATTTCGTGTGTAATAAGTGTATTGCCTTGTGCGCGTTGAAAACGTCGTAAACGCGTAAAACAATCAAACGGAGAAAAAGAAATATTCCGTATTGTTTGCACGGGAGCCAGGGGAAGTGAGAAATACAGAAAACAAATATGGCCGAGGTATTTCTTGAAGTCTGCTACTCAAGACCATTAAATGTATCTCTGGCAAAAAAAAAAAAAAAAAAATGTTGTACGGTACCGAGTTCTCCTTGCTCGACGTCGAAACGCGAGGATCCCTCCGAGATGAACTTGGGTCTCGCGCAGATTTCCTGCAAAAAGGTGGATAGAATAAAATGTAAATGTAATGTATGCATCATTTTCTTGTATCTCTTTCGTTTGCCCTTAAACGCGGAGACATTACACAAGTGAGTGACAGAGGGGGAAAAATCGAAAGAGTCAATCGCTGCGTTTTACGGAGAGAGCTCGGCAAATCTGTAAGGCTGCAAATATTCTTACCTGCAAAAAATACTCCGCGTTGTGAAACTGAAAACAACGTAAACACGGGAAACACTATGGTCACTGTCAAAACGCAGACGGCCTTCTTCGGTCGAGACATATCTTCAGCAGCAATTGACTTTCTCAACTGCTTTGTGGGAAAGTAGGCGCGTGGAATATTTGACAGTGCACTGCAGAGTAAAGTGCTTTTTCCCCAAGCTTTGAAGGTGAAAAGGGGTACGTGGCTTCTCAGCCCTAATTTGATGTAGCCGATGCTACTTCGAAATTCGAAAGCTAAAAAAAAAAGCATGAGCCATTCCACTTTTTGAAAGTGAATGACCACCGAAGCTGTTTATCACACGACACAGACGTGACCCAGAATTTTGAACAAAGGCACGAACTATCTCCGCCCCGAGGAGCCGGAGGAAACTAGACACGCGCGAAGGGACCGCCACCCGACGGAAAGTAGACACGCGTGACGGGATCCGCCATCCCAGGAAAGCGGAAGGAAACTAGGCACGCAAGCGCTTGGAACGACGACAAAGAGAGGGCGGTGCGAGTTTTTGTTGGTGCACATGAAAAATCCACCGAACCCTATCCATAAACAGCTTCGCTGTAAAGCCACGTTCCTTTCTCCACCGAAGACGAAAGGGAAGGGTATACTTACGAAGGGCCTCATCCAGGTGATCTGCGCACTCGCGTACTTGTTCTTGGAGGACAAGGCGCGGTGCGAGGGCGGGAATTCGGGGTCCTCGAAGAGCAGGCCGCGGTCCCTGCAGATCCGCTTCAGGTACGAGTACCCGGGCGGCGGGCCGTGGCCGTTGGCCAGGCCGTTGCTGCAGTGGCCACCCCGGCCGCTGTAGCCGCCGTGGCTTCCGTTGCCCCCGCTGCCGCCCCCGTTGCCACCTCCGCTGCCGCCTCCGCTGCCGCCGCCACTGCCGTTGCCTAGGCCGCCGCCATTGCGGTGGTCCTCGACACCGGACACACCCATTGGGGGACTGCCGGCGTCCCCGCCGCCTCACTCCGCTGTCGGATTAGACAGAAATGAGAGAGGGGTTAGAGTCGGTAGTCATCTAAACAATGAAGAGATACAACACCACCGCTGTGGAATCAGACAGAAACGGCAAGAAGGAATGGCTAATTGGTCAAGCTGGTACGCATCTACAAAAGAGCAAAATTACACCTCCGTTACCAAACTAAAAAAAGAAAAAATGAAAGACGTTTACAATCCTCTGTAATGCCGAATTAGAGCGCAGCTCTTGAGGAGGAGGAGGGAATGTACGGACAGGTGGCTGTGCCCCTCCTCCTCTCCTCCCATGTAGGGGAAAACTTTCCGCTAAACTTAGCGGGAAAATTTCTCCGCTAAATTTAGCGGGGAGATCTCTCCGCTGAATTTAGCGGGGAAATTTCCCCGCTAAATATAGCGGGGAATTTTTTCCGCTATTTTTGGCGGAGAATTTCTTCCGCTAAATTTAGCGTGGAAATTTTTTTCCACTAAATTTAGTGGGAAAGTTTTTCCCGCTAAATTTAGCGGGGAAATTTTTCGGCTAAATTTAGCGGGGAATTTTTTCCGCCAAGTTTAGCGGGAAAATATTTTCCGCTAAATTTGGTGGGGAAAATTTTTCCCTAAATTTAGCGGGGAAATTTACCTATAATGCACCGCGCAGTTACACCGACGCCGACGCCGCTTGAGCCGGAAACGGGCGCCTAAGAGCTGCGCTCTAAAAAAAGTTGAGGTTTTTGCCGATTATGCTATGGTGCATTGTGTAAACATTAGCCGTTGCTTTACTCGGCGTCATAGTCAGACGTGTCTTTTTTTCCCGTAGGGTATATTTTACGCTCGGCCGTGCGATTGTGTTTGAGAAGGCAAGATTTAGAGGTAAAACAGCGCTTTACCGGTTACACCTTACAGCTATTTATTACTCGCTCCCTGCAGGACATATAGTAGGGGTGGTCAGGCTGACGCGGCCTAAGAGCCGCAAACAAAACCACGAAACTTCCAAGAGCCGCGGGGGGCCGGGGGGGGGGGGGGGGGGGGGGCAAACATTTTTTTAGAGCAATAAACGAAACTTAAACTTCTTTCCATCTGTCCGAGTCAAGAGCAGTCTAACTGTATGTAAGGTAGAAGTAGCACAAGACTACCAAACCGCAACCTGTGTTTCGATTTAAAACGCGTTCCATTTCTCTTTTTAAGAGGAGGCGGGAAAGTTGGGGGGGGGGGGGGGGGCTAGGAGGGTGAGTTGCGAGCCGCAGCTTGGCCACCCCTGATATATTGGCCTCGAGATCGACCTAGAGGTGACGCTACGGTCGCGCCATCATCATCATCAAAGCGGGGATAGGAGAACGGCCGCCCCATAGGCTCTCCACGTTCGCGAGTTTGTCACATACTATCGGTGAGAAATCTATTATAGCGGTAGAGGATGCGGTACTGTTTGGTGCTTCAGTGAAGATCGAATGGTGTTGCCAGCGTGCGGCCTTAATTTATATAATCGCTTCTGTGGGAGCGCCGTCTGCTCTATGCAGACGTTAGAAAGCATGGATCACCACGACTGATGACAGTTTCCGGCTGAGCTGGAATATTTATGTTAAACACTTGTTTCTATTATCAACGCGGGAATTAAAAGAAAAAAACATAAATTCCAACCCAGATAACATAATACTGGTACTGCGGGCTGTGAAATAGCAGCTTCTATGCTTTTATTTAAACTTCTAGCTTTTTCAGTAATATAAATATTTGTAATGAAGATAAGTTAGCGCTGTATTGGAAATTACTACGCTATTGAATTCCTCTGCCCTCTTACTGTGCCATAGTGTGGGTAAGTTTTTTGGAGTCGGAACAAATCTACTGCGTTGCGACGAGGAGAGAGTGTCTCTTCTAGTTAAGATCAGCAAATTGCACGGTTGGCAGGATAACGGAAACAAGTGAAACAAACTGTTCTAATATATCTGCCGTGACTGTAATAAACCAGTGTAACCGAGCAACGCAGCAATGTTCCTGTTATTAAATGCTCTTCTCGGTAATGTGGGTTCACCCGCTTCAATTTTCTTGGTGAGGGCCGCTGATGTCAAGAGGCTAATACTATAATTTTCTGGCTAAATAATCTTGTATTCAGACACAGTAGACTCTGCAACCCCAACAAACGACGCGCACCCAGACACAGAGAGAATCGGCCGCAGTGATACTCTTTTACTGATGAGGGCTAGCGACCTTCACGAGACTTTTCGATCACCCTCCGCCCTCACCTAACGTATATCGGGACTGGGCAGTTCATCGATTAACTTTCAGATTATTCAAGTGATGCTTTAATTGCAATATTGTTTTGCCGGTTAATTGGAGTATTGTGCTGGAGAAAGTCAACAAGGAGTAAAAAATGCCTGCTTTATTATTTTTGACATCTTTATATTTTTTTTGTGACACTGGCTTGCACGGTAAACCACTTCAGCGTGCTTGTCATTTCACCGAGGGTGATTATGCTGTTTAAATAATAACTTTAAAAAATACTTCATTTAAAAGGCTTCCCGTGTTCATGTTTACGTAGGACTCACAACGTGAAGTTTAGAATGGGAATGCAATATGCCATTTATGACATAGTAAAACCAGTAAAAAATGTGTAGTTTTAACGTCTTTCACGCAATATGACCGGCGAAAAATCAACATACGGATTTATTTATTGATTGATTAGTCTATTAAAGTATAGCGATCAGTCGGGTTAATTTTCTAATCAAACCAGAGACCCATTCAACATTCAATGCTTTATGAAAACCACGGTTTGTGCGAGATAACAAAAATACGTGGGACCAGCGATTGTATATAAACCAACACACTAAGATTATGGAAGCTTCCGACTTAATAATAATCGCTTTGCTGAATTTCTACGCATGGGAAACGATAGAACACAACCTTTAGTAAGAAGAAACGGCAAGAAAAACAGAAAACATTTAATAAGGAATGTCAAGCTCAGCCGGAAACGGGCTTGCGTCGTCGAGATCCATGCTTCTGAGCGTGCACCCGTAGCAGACGACGCACGGCGGTATCCCCGCTTTCGCGCGTTTCCAATTTCGGCCGCACGGTGGCGACACGGTTCGATCTCGAGGCGAATAGGCTTGTGATTAAGCCGCTCATGTTTAGTACCATTGGTGCCTGTTCCTGTTCCCATTAGTATTCGCGCCTTGCCGTGGGGCCGGTACACTGACTGAAGAAACGTGAGTTCTAAAACTTCAAATTTCGAAACGGGGAATCTTTGTATCCAGGGCCCTAGAAAACGTTAAGTACGACCGTTCAGTAAGGTTACAAATAAGCTTACTGAGTTAAGATATTTCGGCGTAACAATTCTGTACTGGAAACATCCGGACAGACATTCAAAAATGTTTTTATAAAAAAAAAAAAAAAAACAGCGTAGTTCATATAATTTCTGAGATTAATGCAACGTTTTTCGGTGCCGTTCCTGAAATCTGTTCCAAATCAACAATTTGTCGTGCTTCGAACCTTTCGTGTTTTTAACATTCTTTCTCGCATAATTATGCATTTATCATGCAGTCGTATTTCTTATTATCTAAGACTGAAGACATCGTGTGCTTGTTAACTAAGTTAATAGTTCAATGCCTCACTCAATCTCGAAACTGTACATTTTGTATTTCATTCATCGCCGTTCACTTTCTGGTCTGAAATAAATACTCCCAGATTAAGAGACGAATTTTTTATTCATCCCGTAATCACCGAAATGAAGTTACACACTGTCACCAACATCATCACGCGCATTATCGATATCAACCTCGTTGCTTCAAATCGGTTTCTCGTGTTTTGCTCGCTATCGATACGTGTTAACCCGGATGAACCAAGCGTTTTCCTCCGGGACCTCTTTCAGTTAGATAACGCAGATTGCGCAGCAAGAGAAAGCAAAAAGAGGCGGCACCCATTGCAAAACGCGGCCCGCGAAGATAGAAAGTAAAAGCCGAAATGCCAGCGACTCTATACTCCATTCATCGCTACGATGACAGTGCGATGGAATCTACGTGTACGTTGGACCAGTCGTATGTCTATCTTTCGCCACGTGGTCACGCAGAGAGCAGGGTCAGTTGATGAAAGCGAGGTGGTCGATTGATCCGCGGCGAGTGCGTGTGGCTCTCACCGCACTGCCAGCTTAGGGTTGAACGGAGCGTATACCGGCAACAATTCCTCGTATAAAGGATCGGTTCGAAGCGTGTAGCGTTCGAGAGGTCGACCAACGCCGCCGACGGACCAGGAACCGTTGAGGGAGAACAATGGACGGATTAGGCCGTCAAATGCGCCGCGCCGCGATTGGCGGACGGACGCGTCCGGACAGGCGGGATAAACGGAAGCGTGCATGATGCGAGGCGCTGGGAACGGGCGCGTGTCAAAGGTCCGCCGCCGAAGGTTTGATCTCAGCTCGGACGCATAGCGCTGCCGCCGAATCAAGCCGGCAAGGCCATACGCACCGAGGCACTCGTCCGCGCAGTGCCAGCGAAAATGCCAATAACTGTAATTGTAGGTGTAATTGTGTGTATGTTTAGACAGCCGGAAGTTGGTCAGCCCAAGTTGGCTTCTATAGTGTCTCTGCGGTAGAAGAGCAATCTATAGCCAGTGCAGTACCACTGCGTTGCGCGAAATGCGTCTTCGACTGGTGTGCTTATTAATCACCCACGCATTGAAAGGTGCCCGGATGTCGCGATCCGAAAGGTTGGCTGTCTAAACATCCTGGCATTCCTGGCGTTGGGCTGTTTCCGCTGGCGAAAACTGCAAGCGCACGTAAGCGTCGCTGTCATCGCGAGGTCCGATCTCGTGTTGGCTTTGGATTATTATAATTAATTATTACCATTATTATTATTATTACATACTGCGACCTTATTTGTGGTCACTGTAGAAGTAGGGTTAAAACGCCTCACAACAATAATGAACAAAATATAAAAAACACACTAGAAAATAACAATTCAAAACCTCACATTAAGACAAAGAATGATTGATAGTCGTTCATGTATGCATGCGTGCATGCGTATTGACCTGTTGA